TTCGGGAGGCAGCAGACGCGCTCTGTATCCGTCGATGCCTTGAAGCCCGGCGACACTTTCCCGCGCCGCCACAACTCCGCCACACCGGAGGAGCAAACTCAGATGGCCAATTACTGCGGATTCGATAAGCTCGACACGCTCATCGATTCCACGGTTCCGAAATCGATACGGTTAGATTCGATGAAGTTTTCGAAATTCGATCAAGGATTGACGGAGAATCAGATGATTGAGCACATGAGCGATTTAGCTTCTAAGAACAAAGTGTTCAAATCGTTCATCGGTATGGGATACTACAACACGCATGTTCCTCCTGTGATTCTCCGAAACATAATGGAGAATCCTGCTTGGTATACTCAATACACTCCTTATCAAGCTGAGATCTCTCAAGGACGTCTCGAATCTCTGCTTAATTTCCAGACGGTAATCACTGATCTCACAGGACTCCCCATGTCTAACGCATCGCTGCTCGATGAAGGTACTGCAGCTGCAGAGGCAATGGCCATGTGTAACAACATTCAAAAGGGTAAAAAGAAGACATTCGTGATTGCAAGTAACTGTCACCCTCAGACTCTTGATGTTTGCAAGACTAGAGCTGATGGTTTTGGTTTGAAAATCGTCACGGCTGATCTCAAGGATGTGGATTATAGTTCCGGGGACGTGTGTGGGGTACTGGTTCAGTATCCGGGGACCGAGGGTGAAGTCTTGGACTATGGTGAGTTTGTTAAGAATGCTCATGCTAATGGTGTTAAGGTTGTGATGGCTACGGATTTGTTGGCTTTGACAATGTTGAAACCACCTGGGGAGTTTGGGGCTGATATTGTTGTTGGCTCGGCTCAAAGGTTCGGTGTGCCCATGGGTTACGGTGGTCCACACGCTGCCTTTTTAGCTACTTCACAAGAGTATAAGAGGATGATGCCTGGGAGAATCATTGGTGTTAGTGTTGATTCCTCCGGGAAGCAAGCCTTGCGTATGGCAATGCAGACTAGGGAACAACATATACGCAGGGACAAAGCTACCAGCAACATTTGCACCGCTCAGGTAAAAATGCAGTGAGCTCATGGGTCCAAGGTCTACAGTGTTGTACTTTGTTTCTAATATATTCTTGTTCTACCTTCTTGTAGGCGTTGCTTGCAAACATGACTGCCATGTATGCTGTTTACCATGGACCACAAGGCTTAAAATCAATGGCACAACGGGTTCATGGTCTGGCTGGTGTATTTGCCCTAGGATTGAAGAAACTAGGAACTGCACAAGTCCAAGATCTTCCCTTCTTTGACACTGTCAAAATTAAGTGTTCAGATGCACATACAATTGTTGATGCAGCAGCCAAGAGAGAGATCAATCTGCGTCTTGTGGACTCCAACACTGTGAGTTTCTTCGTATATGTTTCTATATGAATATCTGTATATGATTATTAACATTTGAGGGTTGTTTTTCTTGTCTTTAAGATTACTGTTGCCTTTGATGAAACAACCACCTTGGATGATGTCGACAAACTTTTCGATGTTTTTGCTTCTGGCAGGCCTGTGAGTTTTTAACGAATATTCATTTGCTTCGCCTGTTTACTTTTCACTCTTTTCCCTGTTTGCTTGAAATATTGTCTTCTCCTGCTCCAATGTACAAGGTTCAATTCACGGCTGAGTCTCTTGCACCGGAGGTTCACAATTCTATTCCCTCTAGCCTAACAAGAGAGAGCCCTTATCTGACCCACCCAATCTTCAACATGTATATTACATTTTCTGAATCTTGGATTGTTTATTGCCTTGTGGCTTATTAAGTACCTTACTTTTACTTTCCTTTTTTCTTACATTTGATTAGGTACCACACGGAGCATGAGTTGCTTAGGTACATCCACAAGTTACAATCTAAAGATCTATCATTGTGCCACAGCATGATTCCACTTGGTTCCTGTACAATGAAATTGAACGCAACGACTGAAATGATGCCAGTCACATGGCCAAGTTTCACCAACATTCACCCTTTTGCTCCAGTTGAGCAAGCCCAAGGTTATCAGGTGAGGCCACATATTTGATACATTTGTTTGTAAATTTGAACCATAAACTGACTTTGTGTGACAACATGTAGGAAATGTTTGCAAACTTGGGTGAGCTCTTGTGTACTATCACTGGTTTCGACTCTTTTTCATTGCAACCTAATGCTGGTGCTGCTGGCGAGTATGCCGGGCTTATGGTTATCCGTGCATATCATATGGTAAACCTGACTCCAGTTTCCTATTTTTAAGATGAACTTATACTGCAACAAATTTGGTGAATGAGTGAATGAATGATGCAGTCAAGAGGGGATCATCACCGAAATGTGTGCATCATACCTGTTTCTGCACACGGGACAAACCCTGCTAGTGCTGCCATGTGCGGAATGAAAATCGTTGCTGTTGGAACTGATGCCAAAGGAAACATTAACATCGAAGAGTTGAGGAAAGCCGCCGAAGCTAACAAGGACAACTTGGCAGCCCTTATGGTATGTATATGCTTCTTTCATCACTATTGTTATAACCATTGGTTTTTGGGTCAATCCACTTTTTGATTTGCAACCTCTGTTTGGATATATTAGGTGACATACCCTTCAACTCATGGAGTCTATGAAGAAGGTATCGACGAGATTTGCAATATAATACATGACAATGGAGGCCAAGTTTATATGGATGGTGCTAATATGAATGCACAGGTATGGTTTCTCTGCTTGTACAGATTAGATGTTGACTGAAGTGTCCAAATTTTGAGAATCTTGTTTGGACTTCCAGGTGGGTTTGACAAGCCCTGGTTTTATTGGCGCGGATGTTTGTCATCTCAATCTCCACAAGACCTTCTGTATTCCTCATGGAGGTGGTGGTCCTGGTATGGGCCCTATCGGTGTGAAGCAACATTTGGCTCCATTCCTACCTTCTCACCCTGTGGTCAGTGTTAATTCTCTGTGCCATTATGATGGCTAATCCATATTTCTCATTAAATTGGGTTATCTGCTTTCCCGTTTTCACTTATGTACTCTGGTACAGATACAAACCGGTGGTATCCCTGAGCCCGAGACGACATCACCTCTGGGAACCATTTCGGCAGCACCGTGGGGATCTGCGCTTATCTTGCCAATCTCTTATACTTACATTGCGATGATGGGATCTGAGGGACTCACCGATGCCTCAAAGATTGCAATTTTGAATGCTAACTACATGGCAAAGCGTCTGGAGGTACCTTGTCTTGTCATTGCAAGTCTTAGAAGAAAACTAAGAGTGTCTTCTTCACTTGTGCGATCTCAGTTACTTATACTTTCTTTTTGACAGGACCACTACCCAGTTCTTTTCCGTGGTGTCAATGGAACAGTCGCCCACGAATTCATCATTGACTTGAGAGGATTCAAGGTACGTTTCCTTTCTCTATGCACTAAGTGCTCCCTTCTATGGGGTTTAAATAACGTATTCTGCTGTTCAATGTCTTCAGAACACTGCTGGAATAGAACCAGAGGATGTGGCGAAACGACTGATGGATTATGGGTTCCATGGACCGACAATGTCTTGGCCTGTCCCTGGAACGCTTATGATTGAGCCAACCGAAAGCGAAAGCAAGGTACCTTGCATTGGAAATCTCTCAACGACTCAACTCTCAGTCTCTAAAACATGGCTTCATAAATTATATAATATTGCAGGCTGAATTAGACAGGTTCTGCGATGCTCTCATCTCGATCAGGGAAGAAATTTCACAGATAGAGAAAGGAAACGCTGATCCGAACAACAACGTTCTCAAGGTAAAGAAAGGCTGACTCTGTAATTTAATCAGTTCCTTTGTCTGTTACTAAATGACCTTCAAAACACACACACAGGGAGCTCCACATCCTCCTTCATTGTTGATGGCAGACGCGTGGAAAAAGCCGTATTCCCGTGAATACGCAGCATTCCCCGCTCCTTGGCTCCGCTCCTCCAAGTTCTGGCCCACTACAGGTACTAGGGGTCGCATTCAGTTTTCCAGTTTAATTCGGTTCTTGAGTCCTTTCAAAATGTAAAAATATGTGTGAAACAGGGCGCGTGGACAACGTGTATGGAGACCGTAATCTGGTGTGCACTCTCCAACGGGCGAACGAAGAACAGGTTGCAGCTGCGGCGTCTGCTTAAATTAAGCCACGATGAAGCTGTTCGCACCGGATCAAGAATCAAATCTTTCTCTTCCCAGCCCCATCATCACTTTCACTTTCTGTACAATGTACATACGTAGTCCTAAGCTCTCCTTTATTTATCTAATATTTAAATATAATTCATTTCTATATCTTCCACTTTCTTTTACTTTAACCTTCGAATCGGACGAGTTCTGCTTTTAAACCGATTTCCTTTACGTAACCACCTGAACAAGTTGACATGAAAAACTCTCCCAGGCCCTTTTCCCAATGCCAGCCCCAACCACTATTTCCGATGACTTTTCCGACGTAACCTCCTCACCCCCGTGACCTTTCCACCTCGTTTTTTCAAA